TGGCCATATTTGTGGTATTTCTTTTGTCAGAGGGAGGGCTCGAAAAAATAACAATAATGTTTATTAATAACATGTCAAGCATAGCAAAAACAGCAAAAATAGTTAACAAAAAAAGGCGAGCAAACAAAAGAGAACTAAAATTAATAGATATGCCTATGCAAATGCGTGTAATTAAATTAATTTAATCAGTAAAATTAAAAATTATAATTATACTAAATTAGTGAATATGGAAAATGGACATGAAATTGGAGTAATCCATGGGGCATGGCGAACTTCGTATCACCTGCCCATACCTTTTACTCTTTTCGGTAACTTTGACGCATAATAAACCTTGACTTTTTCGATACACTTTTTTCTCCAAGTGTATTCATTCAGTTCTAACCCATTCATAAATTGTCAAATCCACTTAAGTCTGGGCTACCTCAACGTTCACTAAATCCAACACGAAAAGTCAGTTCCTTTAGCATAAGAATTATTCCGCAAATGCTAATTGATGTTATTTATTGATTTTATTGGCTGCGACGCCTTTTTTTCGCACCTCACTAATCAGTTTGTTTAGCAAAATTAATTTTAATCTGCGCCCAACCCCAAAACTTTATGCTAATGGGTCCGACATGCCGCAGACTTATATTTATAAGCCCTAATAATAATTATATATATATAAACATTCAGTTTTCACTAGCCAATGCCATATAGTTTATATATAATCTTTATTTGAGATTATCGATCTCAGACTTTGCTAAAGATTTAACAACATAAAATACATTGCCAGTGATCTGGATAATCTTAAATATTTTCTAAAAGTATAACTAGATTTATTAAATATATTTAATCATCTGCGGTACAAGTTATATACCCCCTTTTTCAATATCTGAACCAATTGATACTTTGCCTTGGTATTTGAAACATAAAATGAGGAATAAATTAAGCATTCATGTCTTGCAGGGTATCTACTAGTTGGACACTTCCAAACACAATACCCTTACTTGCTTGTCTTTAACTATGCTTGATCTGTTCTTTGCGTGCTTCAATAGTAAAATATGTCAAGTATAATTAACTGCGTTCGATCTAGTTACAAACGTTAACAAGAAGTTGGATTAAACTGGATTTTGTTTTGAATTTCAATTTAAGTGATAAGACATTGACTTTTCTGAACTTTTTCAATTAAATATATTGTTTTTTATCCGGCAAATATATATAGTATTCTTTATTTTTTTAAATTTTTTATGTAAAACTTATAAAAACTCGTATACTCTTTGACTTTTGTGTAAATCATTTGAGGCAATTGTAGCTGCAGTTTGGTAAGTCTAAAAACTCTTCTACAACTTAACATTTAACAAAATAGAAATAACTAATGAAAGCTTCACTTTTATAAGACTAATAAATAATACAACTTTTTAACTTTCATAAAAAAACTTATAAAAACTCTTATACAACTTCACTTTTGACCAAATAGAAACACATAATCTAAGCTTTCGTTATGCTCACGCGAACTACACCCACTTTCAGCGCTGCTCAGCCACGCCCCCTTGCTAATCAGCTGCTTTAAGTTCCAAAATTATGCACAGCCAATTTGAGGAGAATTTCTTTGAAATATCTCTGGCAGAAATCAATTAGAGTGAGGAAGCGAGCTGCAGAGGCTACTGGCATAGCTCATAGCTAGCATGCCAAAGATGCTTGGGTTGGCCCCAAAAGCCAAGCCCATCTCCTGCTACTCCATCCACCGTGCCGCTCTGTGTGCGGGAGCACAACCCGTAGATGCCTTAACAAATAACTTAACAAGTGATTAGTCGAGCTCAAAGTTTTGCCTCAGCATCAAAAAGTTCCTTCGGTCGCCTGGCTGCTGGCAAATGTGTGTAGCCCACTTTTAGGCGCATTTGCCGCATAAATTATTAGACTGTGAACATGTCTTCGACTAGTTGCCTAACCCCCAGGCCAGGCTAACGGGTAACATTCACTATCTGCATATTCATATTCAAATATCAACATTTTTCGCCTCTGCAATTTAGCCTAATTATGGGTAAGAACTTTAAGCAACTGCACTAGCTTATGCCTAGGTATACCTTTCGCCTAGCTATAAATACCGAAATGCTAATTGCTGGCAATTGTTGAACTACTTGAAGCTATATCGACTGTACATTCCATGGTACACTCGAAGAAAGTTGCATGAAATAGCTTTGAAGAGGAATTTTGATTAGAATTGAACTTTCCATTTTCCTAACTAATTGAGATGGAGTGTATCTTCTGGCATTTGTATCTGATCTATATGTATCTTATATATATAGTACACTGAGAGAAAATTCGATGTTTCCGCTTGATGATAGAATTTCTCTGCATAATTGCAGGCAATTGCGGGACAACTTTAAGTCTTATGGAATATATATTATGTTGACTACACTCAGAAAAAAGTTCAGAAAATAGATATGAGTGTATGAGAATAGAAGTTTCTATAAAGATTTACCTTTCAATAGAAAATACAATACACTCAGAGAAAATTTAATGAATTACATCTTAAACTCAAAGAAAATACTATAAAAATTACATTTGCAGTTTCTCTTTTTCAGCCTCCCATTTTAGGTACTCATTTTTTACAGTGCACTCGTGTCCCAAGTATTAATTATAAGCTAATTTACAGCTGCCTTTCAGTGGGAGGTAGCGTCACTCAGATCCGGAAGAGCCACGACTAAGTATAGAACTTGCACACATTGTGCGCCGGCTTGTCCAGTAATTAGTTAGAATATATCTGGTTGGCCGACCTGTCTGGCTGCCAGTTAACTGTGTGAATTGTCTATTTATGCAGCTACTGAAATGTTGATCTCTCTGACAATGAAATGCCTTCATTCACAATTGGCGCAAGGTTCGCCACGGCAAGTGTCGGGGGAACCAAGCACTCGTAATTGCTCAAATATCTAGTCTAAATAATGCACATTAGACGGGGTGCATATCTAGATTCATAAACAGGATCTATTAACATGCACATAACTGACTACATTCTGCTCAGAGACAGCTCAGCTATATCACATATATAATATATAAGACTTATGTCGAATACAAAATCAAAGCTTTAAGGAGGGTTTTATTGTGCGGGTTTTGAGCTGTGGCTTTATGTGAACGTGCTCTCATAAGGTTGTTCACTGCGTGTATATGGAGAATCAATTAATTTTGTGTACAGCAAAGCTAAAAAATAAAGATTATCTTCTTGCTTACATTTAACTTATACACTTAGAGAAATAACTCAAATAATTAAAAAACAAAAATGATAAATATAAGAAAATATATAAAAAGAAATTAAATTTGGCAAAAATAATGTCAACTATTCTCGTCTCTTCAGGTATAGCTGAGACTTCTGACTATTCTCTTATTTGAACTGAAATTCAAATTGAATCCGCTCAGCTCAGCCAGCTTAAAGGCCATATTTAAATAACCTTCATTTCATTTGAGTTTTAATATATTTATGTTAATTTATGATTTATATATTTCTTTTACAACCCTATCATTTATCTGTTTGCATCTCGTGTAAGTTCTTAATATTTAAATATATTATTTTGTATATCAATTCGCCTCAAATTGCCATGTATTAGACAAATATGAATGATGTTTTAGTTGCAGTTTAGCTTGGTAATAACCAGTTCACAACCCGTTTAAGCCAGTGTCATTGACGTTCTGTTTTAGGCCATAAAGCTTTATGGCTTCGTAGTATGTAAACAAAATATAAAATATCAAGAAAGCGAACTGGTCAACAGCTTAGACAGATATAAATTTTACGTATATACATATATATAGTATTATTTTAAAAATATTATTATAAAGAATTTCAGGCGAGGCATGATCTACAAGGCGTTAACTCAATTTGCCCTTAGCCCATTTAATAAATTCAACTTCACGTACCTCTGACAATTGCTCAAGAATTACTGTTATTATAGCTAATGGAGCTCTAAGGAAAAACACCTGCCCAACTAGACAGAAAATATTATTTATAAATAAAAAATTGTGTCTAAAACGCGACCGAGTGCGGCGAACGTTGGCGCTGAACTCGCGCGAGCCGCAAACAAAAGATACGCCAAGTTCAAAAGCTGAATACATAGAACCAAATGACAAGAATTAACTGTGAACGGCAACGGCAACGGCAACAACAATTATAGCTACAACAATCACAATGATCATTCTCAAGCGAAAAACACAAAAACAAACGAAAAATACATTTCATAATTAAGTAGTTGTAGTTAAATAAAAGTAAATTATTGGAACTGGTCGTAGCTGAAATGCTCTGCAAATAATTGCAAATCCATTGGCTTTATATAGATATCAAAGATAGCAAGAAATAACCTTAAACAACTATTAAAAATTGGCAAAGAACTTGAAAAACTCAATTACTGATCTAGGACAGAAGTTGTATGTACGATATAAAACATACGATAAACGATATACTCTATATATTACTTATATTTATGTGATAATATAAGACATAATAAAAATATAACTTGCTCTGGGCTATGTATTATTATTATATATTATATTGATTCCATATATCTTATATATATCTCAACTATTGACGGGTTTGCCTGATCTATTCTAAATTGGCAAAGAACTTGTGCTCGTACATTCGATATATAATAGTATTCACATTTAGATGTTTATGATACCAACATCACCTAAACAGTGACCCTATTTTTATGTGTATTGTTTGCTTAATGAATATACATTCCACTGTATTAGTTCTTATATGACAATATGCATATGTATAAGATAATACAACGAGTTCTTTTGTTTAAAAATGTAGTCTCTCTTAATATTGCTTATACTGAACTATAAATCGACTCTACGTATATGCATTTGTAACCCAACTTATCTTCTATATATTGTACAACTGTGTATCGACTTTATAATTTCTGCTCTGAACAATTCAATTTTGAATAAAGAAAACATTTTCATGCTAATTAAACAATATTAAATTTATATTATAACATATATACAAAAAAAAACTTAGCAACTTTTTGTGTGCATAAGAAAATGCTACTTTGACTCTTAAAATTAGTTTAATCTATATACTAATGCTTTTTTAGTGCACAACTCGACTGGTCACATCTTACATATTAAACTGGCTGCGCTGCTTGGAAGTGGAAGGCAGCTGCATCTGAGCTTGCTGCTGCTGATGCTGCTGCTGCTGTTGCTGCATGTTGCCGGCAGCTTTGCTGGCTGCTTTGCCGCCTTGCTTCTGATAGACCAAGCCGGCGACGCCTGGAATTGTGTTGCAGCCTACGCAGGCATGCAGTGTCTCATGAACAAATATATCACAATCAATGCAGAAGAACTGCTTGCAGTAGCCGCACTTGAAAACGCTTTTGTCTGTCACGGGACTCAACACCTTTATGCAGCCATAGCACTTGCGCAGACTGCCGCAATCAGGCGCTGCCGGTGGCACCGACTCATAGGGCATTTCCTCAAAATTGGGCACAGGAAACAGATGATGATAGGAGCGGGCCAAATGGGGTGCTGATACCAGCGTAAGTCCACAACATTGACACTCCACAGGCAGCTCACAGTACTTGCTGTTGCATTGCGGACAATGATGGCCGGTGGTGGACAGTTCACTGGGCTCATCAATATTCTCGATGTGGCACATGCACATGGAGAGCGGTGCATCCTTGCCCTCCACTTCATTCTTGCTGTGCGGAAAGCCCATCCTTATCAGTGAGTTATCCTGTGTCTTGGCAGCGGGTGGCGGATCCACCTGAGACAGCAACTGATCTCGATAATGTGCATCATCCAGCACAGCACCAAAGGTGCCCATCGTCTGTTGCGTCAAATAACGACAGATGTGAATTTCCGCTGATAACGAAATAACCGAACAGCGTATACGCTCCCTCTTCAGCTCATCTATTGTCAGATTAATATCCACCGGATCACAGGTAGTTAGCGAGCCCATGATGATAACGATTTCCCGTGATGCATGTGATGGCACCACCTTCAGTGTCTTCAAAGCTAAATCCAATCCATTTTGCAGTGAGGGCTCGCTGGTAAGCGAGACATTAGCCAGTCTGCAAAAAAGCAGGGTAATCAAGAAATCTCTTATAATTGCTATTTAATAAAGGATCTACTCACCCAGCTAAAGCCTTGAGATGTACACGAGAAGTGCCCGTCAGCTCGGTTATTTTCTCTGCTCGCTTTGCCTTTAGCGCTATAATACCCAGCTGGCTGATGGGATTCTGATCGAAAAACTCTTCAATAAAGATCTCCAACAACTTAAGTGTGCATAACAATCGTGTGGGCTTTAGATCGGGTACGCTCATCGATTCAGAGCAATCTAAGACAATGAACATGTGCCGCATCATTCCCAGACGATTCTGTTTGGTCTTATCCGCCTGTCGCTTGCGTTTTGCCTTCTGTATAATCTCGGCAATGGCACCGTCCAGAAGTCCGTCGTCATCCTCCTTGATGGCTTCCCTGTAATACGATTTGAACTTATAACAAATCAAAACAAATAACAAATGTGCTGCTAAATTACCAGGTCTTCTCATAGCCCGTTTCCCATCGGTACTCCTTTTGGTCGTCTTGCTCATCGTCGGCCATTTTTGTTGCTTAATTTTGTATAGTTATTGTAATAACTGGATGAACAAACCTAGCTTTTTCAACACGCACAGCAGACCGGTAAACAAAAAGTGTGCACATAGCAAAATTTGAAATAATTAGGCAGCTGAAGTATGTAGAGTTGCCATTGTATCAAAAATTGAAACTAAATGTCGGAAAGAAAGTCAAAATATAAGACTAAAAAATATTAAACTATATATATTTAAAAAAAAATAGTCCCACGAATTATTCAATTTCATTTAATTTAATTTACTTCAATTACTGTCAAACGACCAGTGCTGCCATACTGAAACCGCAAATACACCACGCCACGTGATTGGCTTACAAAGTGCTACAAAACGCGGACGAACGGAAAAGAGCGCTACACAGTCGATTGAGCATATACGACACGTTTCAAATATTAAAATCTCTTAAATTGGGCGTATTTTATAATTTAAAAGGTTATAAAGTGAGCACTTTTAGTGAATAATTTACCTTTAATATTAATACATATCAGTAGTTTCATTTTAATATATGTTTACAAAATCACGTATGTAAAGTAGCGCATTCAAGTGTCACCCAAGCTATGCCCTTAAAACAGAACTGGCCACTTCGTTCAGTTGTACAAACTTTTTTGGCATTCAGAGTTGGCGCGCGTGCAATTGTGAACAGCGTTGCGCGAGTTGGAGAATAAAAACAGTTAAATTAAAATTAGTTGATAAAGTACAAACTGGTTGTTCTCTACATTTGCTCAATATACTTTTGTATATGAAGGTGTGTTTAACAAAACAAAAAAAAACATAACTAAAATACGTGAAAAATGCATACATAAATCTCGTCGAAGAAAATCGGTCATACATGGCAAATTTTGTCTAAAATATCACTAGATACGGGGCTATAGTGTATTAAATGATCTGCATAACATTTATAAAACCTTGAAGTAACTTTAGTCTGTGAATGGGTGTCTACATTTTATTAATTCAGTAAATGCAGTTGTAAATACAATATGCGGCTTTTAACCAAAAATGGCGGCTAGTTAAAGATAAGAACAAGAAAAATATATTATGATGTATATAAAATTTGATATATTGAATATTAAGTGGGAGCTTATGTTTTGATGTTGCATTTTTCGCGCCCGGTTTGCTGTTTTGTGCGTCTACTTTTGTGCGGGCGTTCGTTGCATTTTTTGGCCATCACGCTTTGTGCTCGCCTTTCTGCTGAGGCTCTGTATTCTCTGCAGCCATTACATACAGTTAAAATCCACCACACTTTGCTGCCAGTTGTGAATGTTGCCACTTCGTTTCATAAAACACACCACGGCACTGTACTTTTATTTTTTTTGCTCGCATGTGCGTGTGTGTGTTTGTGCGCGTATTTTCTACGGTTTTTATTTGTTTTTAAATTGTGAAAGAAAAAAATTTCAAATTGTACATTTACAGTTATTACGGTGGTTTTTTGTATAATGTTGGCACAGGAGATTGCACCGACAGAAATTGGCAAACACGCAAATATAATAAGAGGCAAGTGGTCGCAAGTCATAGAAAACGAAAAAAAAAAGAAAATTTTTAACAGTAAGACTTCCTTATTCAGTTGCCCAAGAGGAATTAGCCAATATGGATGTGCTCGTTTGTGGACGTTGCTTGCGCGCCTTTAACTTTGTTGAAGAGTTTCAGTCGCACAAGGAGGACGATGCTTGCGAAAAGGAAAATTCAAGTTTGAAGGAATCTCTCGATACGAAGCCCACAATTTGGGCATTCACGCTTTGGAAGGCCACACAATTGCACACACGTAAGGAGAGTAACATTTCAAATTCATGGGCACTCTATCAGCACTGGGTAAAACTAGAAGAGAGTGTGCGCGAGCCATGGATTGTTGCCGGTCGAACAATACAGTCCTTTGGCAAAATCGGACATGGTCAACTACAAGATATGCCTGTGCGCATCACCAAAACTGTTGTTAATCCCAACAACAATAATAACAACAACAGCACTGCAAACAGTAACAACACTTCAAGTGTTTCGCCTACAAGAAGTAAGAGCTGATAATTTTTCTTTTATATAATATATAACACAATATTTGTCCACTTAAAGAATCGCCTGGTGGCAAATTGCCAACTGTTGCTTCACAGCTGAAGGATACAGAAAATGAACGACCCAAGTCTAAACCAGGTACGCCCACTCCTGGCGCCTCAGCACAGTCAACAATATCAGGTGTTGTCAAAAATAATAATCGCATTGCCACACGTGTCGATCCAAAAACCGAGCAACGCACCGAGGAGGCTGTGGAGAGTATTGTCGCGAAACGTTTTAATCCACGCCGGAAAACGCATGAATATCTGGTTAAATGGATTGAACGTTCGCACAATGAGAATACCTGGGAGGTGATGGCTAATCTAGAGCGTGTACCCTACTTTCTGCAAATATTTGAGAAGCAGCTGGCGCGACAAAAGCTTAAGCGTGAAAAGAGCCTAGATGCTCTAAAGCGTATGCAACAAGAAAAGCCGCAGCAGGACAAACAGCAGTCTCAGACTGGAGGCAAAATGGACACCGCCCCGCACAGTCCTCAATCCTCTGCAATATCACCCAATTCGAGCACTGGCGCATCGCGTCCGTCACGCACTTCCAAGACCAAAGCCATGGATCAGTTTAAGCAATGGGTAAACGAAGGTGGTGCCGGAGAGGGCTCTACGTCGCCCTCCTCGGCTAATGAGGATGAGTCTGCAACGGAACAGGAATGGTCGACAGCTGGGACAACGGCAACAGGTATTAAACGCAAATTAAATCATACGGATTCGAGCTCGGAGGCTACTGGACTAAATGCCTCAAATGACTCGATGGAACTGGAAGATCTTGAAGAGGATTTAATACCATCGCATACAGTGAAGCGTTTAAAAAACGGCGGCAGCTCCGTGCAGCTGAATAAGCCCAAAATGCAATCGTCAATGCCAACAACGCCTGCTCGTATCAATGGCAACTCCTCGTCCAGTTCTATATTTAGCGATAAGGAGCAAAAAATGGGTGAAGTCATCTACACGGAGGATAGCACAAGCACAGGCATGTTTCGAAAACCAGAAATGCCCAATACTATACAAACAGTAAGTAGTTACAAAAATTATCGATAAAAATTATATATATTTTAATATGTTGTCGATAACGCTATGCATTGTTCATAACAGTTATATATATATAGTTAATATTTCTATAAATACATTGAACGTATATTTAATTTTTTTTTTTTTTTTTTTTTTTTTTTATTTATTCAAGAAACGTCATAAGCTCGAGTGTCCTGTACGTTATTTATCCCGCTCTGAAATGGTTAGTAACAACAGCGGAATCTTTCGCGTAGAGCAATCGGAAAGTAGCGCACTTTCGCCAGTCCCAAAAATTAGCCCGGCAACTACATCGTCGACGGGCATTGGACCTGCCAAACGCATGGCTGTCGCTCGATCATCTGGCAACAATTCACCGGTAACCGTTGCCCAGCGCACGCATGTGTTGCGCACTCCTGGGCAGGTACCTCCAATGCATCGTCGGCCTGTGGGCAGCAGCAGCACACCTAATCAGCTGCGACAGACGCCAATGGCTGCCAGAGCTGGAGTCGGAGCTGGCGCTGGAGCTGGTGCACGCATGCTGGTCACGCGCGCCAATACGCCACAGCAGCGCCAATTAGCTGGATCCAAGGCGGTAACGCCAGAGCAAAAGATATTGCAACTATCCAAGTCTGGGGATCTCAAGGTGACGCGGAAAGTGATGACACGCGAGGATCTACAGGCCCAACGTGTTGCGCAGGTGCGCCAACAGCGTCAGCAGCAAGCACAAGCCTTGCAACAGCAGCAGCAGCAAGTGCAGATCCAGAAGGTTCAACAGTTGACACCGCTGAGACAACGCACGGCCAATGCAGCTGTCGCGAAAGCACAGCCCATGCAAATCGAGATGGAGGTGGAGCAGGAAGAGCTGCAACAGCATCAAGCACAGCTTTGTCCCATCACTGGTAAACTAATTGGACAGGAAGAGACACAGCTACAAATGGAGCAAGAGCAACAACAAGAACAACAACGCGAACAGCTAGAAGCTGCCGCTCAAGCGCTTCTCGGTGGTGATCAGCAAGTGCTCACCAATGAGGATGGCTCTGCGTTGCTAGTGCGTGGAGAAGATGGCACCGTCTATCAAGTGGCCGGCAAGAATGCCGAAGGCCAGACAATACTCGTGACGCAGGGACCCGATGGGGAGCAGCAGTTTGCATATGTGGCTGCCGCCGAGGGTGAAGATCAGGACGTGCTTACGCTGGATAATGCTGTGGCTGAAGCCGTTGCCGCTGTAGGCCAACAGAGCGATGCCACCACAGATGGCGAACATATACTTGTGAGCATGACTGAGGAGGAACTGGCCCAGCATCAGGCTGCAGTGCTGCAACAACAGCAGCAGCAACAGGAAGCGGCGCCAGCGGGCAGCACACCACACACGGCGCAAATTCACATCACAACATCGGACAGCGATGGCACTGAGGCACAAATACCAGCCGAAGTGGTGCAAGCGGACTTACCTTCGCCAGGTAAGCGATTGTAATTAATTTAAAAGAAATCGCACGCCTTAAATCTTTTATTTATTCGCTTTACAGGTGGAACCCGTCGCGTAGTTTTGTTGCTGCAGGATGGCACCTTTATGATGACTGAGATGCAAGAGGATCAGTTCAAGACGCTAAATATCCCGACGTAAATAATAAAAAGGAAAAGATATATAGCATGTATGTAGATCGTAAGCATTATAATGATATATAAATATAAAGCACGGGCCGTTGTTGTAAGGATACACACACAAGAGAGAAGTAAAACCGCTTAAAATTTAAGCATCAGCATCCTGTATCTGTTCCCATTTTGCCAATCATATCGCACATTGAGCATACGCATTCCCCATCCTTTTGCTCTGAAACGTATTTTTTTAAATAATTCAATTTGATTCGATGCAAGCAAATTAGCATACTTTGCAGTAAGTGGAAAAGTTCTTCAGTAAAGTAATTATACTTTGACTTGTTGGTGGGGTTGATCTGTTTTATATATACATATATGAATAAAAAGCTATGCAAAGTGTTAAGATTGCATAGTTTTCTGATCTTATGGAAGAGTCGATTCCAAACGTAATCTTCAATCACGAACAGCGGCTACAAATATGCATTAGAAAACTTACCTACAAATTAACATGTACTTGTACTTGTATTAATTAAAACAAGAAATTATAAACAAAAACAGAAACAAGCAAACAAAAAACTATCTAATTTTAATAACTTAATGTAATTCATAATGCAATTCTTTATTCTAGGCAACAACTAAATGCAGCTGTTGCATTTTGAAGAACAGTTAAATATACTATTTAGATAACTCAGCAAAACATTTAAAATTTGCAACACACACACACACATACATGCACATGCACACACTGACACACATTCAGATACACACTCAACAACCACAATTTAGAGATAGAACATGTAATTGTAATATTATAATTATTATTATGTATTGTACATTATTTAAGTAATTTTTAAAATCGAATGAACTAAAGCAAACAACAACAATATGCTAATTTCGTTATTAAAAAGAGAAAACAGAAGAAATGCCACAAACACTTAACAAAATGCATAGTTGTAAAATATAAACAAATATATAAACTGCAATTTAAATTAAAATAATAAAAAATAAAAGTAATTCAGGCGAATTCAAATGGACTTTGGAAACAAATAAATTGACAACAGTTTTCTTTGCGTTCTGGGACTTTTAAAATCAATTCTATATAGTTTAGTTAACTAAAAGATAATAACAAATATAAAAATTTCAAGTTGATTTGAAATGAGAACACGGGAATTTGACTGGAGGAATTGCGAGCAATATTTTGATATATTTTTATATTTAATGGCTTCAATCGTTATTATAGTTATTACAATAAGTTAAGTTTACATTATAAATAATATATAGATCTAGTTTAAGCTGAAGCCCTCTGAAGCTTGGCTATAAAGAAGCCTACTGTATCCAAGTTTTGCAAACGATTGTCATGACTTGGTCCAAAGCGTTGTAGTAGGTCACACTGTGCAGCATCCAAGTCGGGCAATGGTAGACCAGGTGAACCCAATTTCGGCATTGCGTCTACAAGCTGCAGTTGAGGATATTTACGCAAAGCCCAGGACACGATCTCCTCACATTCCGCCTCAGTGACGGTGCACGTGCTGTAGACAAGGGTGCCACCAGGACGTAGCAAAGGTACAGCCTGGGATAGCAGATTGCGCTGTATATGTGGGTAAGATTGAAGGACCTTGGATTGCTTAATGTTGCAACAGAGCTGCGGGCGATTGCCCAATCCACTGCAGGGTGCATCCAATAGTATGCGATCAAAGCTAGAGGATGCAAAAGGCGGAGCTGTTGAATCTCTATCAGTGCTGCCATCCCAGGCCTTTGTGGCGTCAAACAGATGTGCCTCAATGCAGCTATAATTGACCAGCTTGCCTGTCATGGACCGTACACGACTCGCCGAGTTATCCATTGCAATTATGGTGCCTCTATTGCCCATTAGTTCGGCTATATGTGTTGTCTTGTTGCCTGGTGCTGCGCACATATCTAGAACGCGTTCACCGGGTTGGGGATCTAGCACCCTTACACATACCATCGAGGGCAAGTTCTGGAGCAGTGCATCTGCATCACTAAGATCCCCCAATGTGGGAACTCCAGTCAAATTAGTTAGCATGCGTACGGCAATGCCTGAAACTGGCTGTTCCTTGTTGTATAGCTGATGACGTTGCATTAGCACCTGGCCCACACCTATGAAGATTTTCTCGTCGCAGTCGTAGCGCGTTGCAGTTCCTCGCTTGCATTTGCCAGGCAAATCAGCAAACACATTAACAAGTTCTTGAAGTTGGGTACCTGATTCCATGGCCAACACGCCCGGCGCATAAATGTGTGCACCACGCAATACTGCAGCGCCACAACTGGTGTCCACAATAAGCTCCTTACGGCAGTCATCATATTTATTTTCAGTTGTGTCCAAAGGTGAAATGCAAAGCATTTCAGGCAAGTCCTTTAATCCATAAACTCGTGGTGCTTTCGGACCATAAAGCGCGATTAACTTGGCTTCCAATTTCACTTTGTAGTCCGCGACACTGGTGCGTAGTGTGTTGATGCGATATGTTGTAGTCCGCGGGGCCTTGCAAAGCCATGGCAAAATTTTTTTTAGTTCTCCCGACTGCGATAAAGTTTATGAGAACAAGAACATTAAAACAAAATTAAAAAGTTAAAAATCAGTGTTGAGTAATATAGTCATATATCGATATATCTTTCTTGACTGTCTGCCTCTTTACAGCCAACATATTGACAATTGGTGTCGCTGAATTGTTCGCCCTTTCTCAAACAAATTTATTATTGACTCACATTTACTTTAAGAATTTCAGTTTCCAGCTGCAATCCTTTGCCATAAAATGGAGTTTTGGGATAAAACATTCTGTAAATCGATTGAAATACCTAGCAGTCACGCTCGTTATCATCTCTAAATTCAACACACCGGCCTCGCTTGTGGACAAGACGTGGCAGCATATGAGTGCCGTATAAAAAATCCACCATAGCATATTATAGTGTTGCTGCTCTAGCATACGGACACGCTCAACATTGCGTTCATTTTCAGCGTTGGTGAACTTGCAGTTTTTTCAAAGGCAAGTGTATTCTCGGTCAAGTTTTATTTCGCTCTGTGATTTTTAGACATTTCCAAGTAGAAATTTCTAAAATTTCTGCTCAAATTGGTGTGCGTTTGATTTAATTACTTGGTGCGTATTGATTTCAAATCAAGTTTTAGGTGCTACTGTTATAAAACGACGCATTTCAGTAAAAAGCTGCTAGCATTTTTTATCTTTTGGTATTGAAAGTGCTGCCGCAGCAATGTGGGTGATGTTGGTGTATTGGTGTAGAAATTTTAATACACGCACACATGCAACTGACGTGAGCAATTGGCGATGGGAGTGGTATTCTAATCGAATGCACGAAATTCGAATTATCGCCCGCGATAAAAAGAATTTGAACCCCATTGTAAAACTTTTTAAACTAATTGCATATTTATTTCGACTTATTTTACATTTTGGTATTAATTACCCATTATATAATGCCCTTTTTATTCAATTCCCTTTAAAAGAAGCGAATAACCGATTGACACGCACCGTGCAAATCGATAGACGGTATCGTAGCCAACTCTGTGTCATCGCCAACTTGTACATTCTTCTTTGCTGTCGGTTTGGAGGTAGAAAATTTGGTCAAAGGGAAATTTACGAAAAAAAACTATAAAGAAAACGGTAAATAATGAGTGCAAAGTGCAAATAATGAAACCCTAATGCTAAAACGATGTCCAAAGTGCAAATCAATCAAGTATTTCGATTAAAAATGAATAAAACAAGGCTACCGCTGTTCGACGAGAGCAAATGAAAAAAAGCATACGTCGCCGTCATCATTTCTTAGTACTCATACAAAGACAGCCAGTCACACACACATACACTAAAAAATTGCATAGGGCTGTCTAATGAGTGTGGGTTACCAGTGTATTAATTTGCTACGCAAACAATGGAAAATAAACAATTTGACGAATTTTTAAATCCATCAAAAGCTGCCTATGTGATTTTTATTTGTTAAACATTCGACTTAATCAACGAGTATTTAACACACACACACGTCTTTAGGCAACCCTAAACTCTCATGTGCGTATATGTGTTTATATACTGTGACAGTGTGTGCGTGCAGGGTGTTGCTGCTGCGGCGGCATATAAAAGTTGCTACGTGTAGTTTTCATTTTCTTACACATATTTTTTGCGACATTGCGTCTGCACATTTTAGTTTTGATTTTTCTCTTTGCATCAGCATTGCATTTAGACATTTTTTGGATAGCGTGCTCTGTAGTTATTATTTGCGCATTTCTTTTTTATAAGATAACACTCAAGTCGCCAGTGCTGCCACATTTTTGTTGTTGTTTTCTACTCGAATTCAATTAAAATTTCAATTGAATTGCATATTGGAGTAAATTGATGTGTGTGCGTGCGAGCATGCCGTTGTATCTACGTATGTGTCTGTACTTTACACATACAAAAACACACATACGCACATACAATAGTTAAATCCGCTGCTGCCGTTGTTGCTGTTGAGTCACCACAGATTTCAACTTGGACAGCAGTCGAGTCATCGGGCCGAGTGTTTAGCATTTGCACTGATAAATCTAACAAATTTCCCACCTCAAATCATTTACGCGCTCTGCCGCCACACGTTTTTCCTTTAAAGCGACAGTCGCCGACGCCATACGTAGGCGAACAAACAAAAAAATCAATATCTTATCAGTGGCTACGATGTCAGTGTCGACTGAGCACCGGCAGAACTTAACAGGCAAATCAATGTTGTCTTTTATTTTTGACAGCGGCTTCTTTCCTTTGTTTCTATTTAGGAATCGACATCTTGAACTTGCCATTGTCAATGAACTTTTTTGGTAAAAGCTTTTCATTAGCAATTTCTACACTTTCTCGCTGGCTCGCTCGACTGCAGCAGTTTTGTTAGCTCGCATTTAACATTTTTAATGGTAGATTTCATAATTTCATTTCGTTTTCCGGTTTACTCGTCATCGCTGGCTCTCAAACACGTCAGCTTAACAATCGAAGCTAAATATGATACGGAATAATTAAAACAGTTTGCAATTAACTAGCGAAACCTGAACAACATTTGACTAAAACTTCACTACTCATAAACATTTATAATTCAACTCAGTTTAATTGCGCCCCTTTGTTATTTTCTTTAATCGACTTAAGCTAAGTGAAACTAATTTTTGCGCTTGGTCCACACAATTCATTACAGTTTCTTCTTCAAGTTGCAATTGCACCACCAATCCAAAAAGGAGTTGCATTCAACAGCAGTTTTGCAACTCGGATTTGAACTTGTTTATAAAAGTTACCCCTAAAATACTAGACAAGGAAGAAGCAACAGTCAGCTGTAGTGTAATTAATTAATATAACAAACATCCCATCCACATTGAAAGACAGAAAGAAGAAAAAGCAGCAGCAACAGCATCAACATGGGAAATGTATTTGCGAATCTATTCAAAGGCCTCTTCGGCAAAAAGGAAATGAGAATATTGATGGTCGGTTTGGATGCCGCTGGTAAAACCACAATTCTGTACAAACTCAAATTAGGCGAAATTGTTACAACGATACCTACTATTGGTAAGTATTGCACTGGATATGCCATCCATAAAAAGTTTACCTTAATTATCTCCTTTTCGTTTGCAGGTTTCAATGTGGAGACTGTAGAATACAAGAATATTAGCTTTACAGTGTGGGATGTGGGCGGCCAAGACAAAATTCGTCCATTATGGAGGCATTACTTCCAGAATACACAAGTACGCCCACAGCTAATTACTTTATCAACAGTCTATTTCAACTAGATGATGTTAACAACTTGTTATGAGTATACTTATGATTATTCAAAGTTAATTTTTGTTTCAAGACGGGACTGATATATTCTATTGTAGAATGTATTCATTAATTCCAATCCTTATCTTTGCACCCGATTAACATTGTTCTTGTGTGTTTTCTTTTAAATACCTCACACAGGGTCTTATCTTCGTCGTTGATAGCAACGATAGAGAGCGTATCGGTGAAGCGAGAGAGGAATTGATGCGTATGCTGGCCGAGGACGAGCTCAGAGATGCAGTCTTACTAATATTCGCCAACAAACAGGTAATTACTTAGTCGTAGACAATTAATTAGCAGATGTTTCTTCAAGCATGGTTTTCTGTTAAATTTAAAAATTTTTATGACGTCAGTTATTTGAAATAGCATATTGCGCAAACTAGACTAACGCACGTGTTAAACAAATGTTGATTTGTGTTGATAAGGAGGGAAAACTATTGCCCGTGATAACGAGCCTTGAGAGTGCACTCCCGCTAATTAATAGAGAAATAGAGAAATTTCATTTTATATCAATGCTAAATGTCGCGTTTCTCTTCTTTCTTCTAGGATCTGCCAAATGCAATGAATGCGGCTGAAATTACTGATAAGTTAGGCTTGCATTCACTCAGAAATCGCAATTGGTATATACAGGCGACGTGTGCAACCAGCGGCGACGGTCTCTATGAGGGACTTGACTGGTTGTCTAACCAGCTAAAGAACGCTAATCGCTAAATAAACTACAACAATAACAGCAACAGCAACAACAACAGCAACAACAACCACAACAAACAAAAATAATTATACACTAAACTTTGATTTAAAAGGCAAAGCAGCGAAATCTTCAACAAGAACAGCCACAACATCAACTAGAGACAACGGCATCTTACATGTGGGAAATAATAATAATAAAACAGCAAGACGGAGAAGAGCGATGTTCGGGTTCTGCGCATTTCCATATTTTCCAACAAAAAAACATAAAAAATGAAAGAATAAACACGCAAAGCCGATGCGCGCATAATTAAAACTTGTTTAAGAATCGCAAACAACAAAACCACACACACAAAACACCCACAACATAACACAAAAATTTTCAAAGCAGCATCAGCATATTAAAAACGCTATGATTTAATTTAAAGTTATATATATATAATTATTGGATGTTCAAATGCAAAAATGAGTAAAAAGAGAACCCAACCACCACAACAACTAAAACAACAAGAAAAGTATATGGTATAAAATTGTCTTTTTAAGTTATTTTTGCCCTACCCCCTCATCAATATATATTTCTTTTTAATTTTATAAATATAAAAGTAATAATAATGAGAAAAACAAAACTGTAATTGTAATTGCTCTTTAAAAAAATACAAGAAAAAAACAAATTTATTTTTCTTTTGTTTGTGTCCGTCGCTTGGCAGCAAAAAGTAACAACAAAAAACAGAAAAACTATATTTGAAAACAAAAAATAAATAAACGGCAAGTACTATTTATAAAGGTAATTCTAAATAAAATTTAAAATAAAACATGCTGAACCATTTTTGATACAAGGCAATGAATATTTAAATTTTTTCATTGTGTTCGGATGTTATCGATAATTTTGAACCAATCGTTGACCGTTCTGATAAGTTTTAGTCAACACTGTTTCGACACGTGTAGGGTTGCTATTGCCGAAAACGATAACACATAGTCTTTGCTGTTTGTGCCAATTTATAAGTAATTTTTCAATTAAAGTAACAGAAAACTGGACAAAAACACTATTAAAATGTCGGCCAAGCTAAACTCGAAGAAATCCAAGTGGGCGCTGGACTTTAATGTTAGGTAAATACAGCAATTATTGTAATTAACACGTCAGGCTAATTTTTCTACTTCTGTGATGCAGCAAAAATGCAGATATGCCCTCGCCGCCTGGGTATAATCCCACGGCTCTAGTAAATCAAACAGAAGTCGTACGTGATCAACGTTTGGTAATTAAAAAATCATGGGATTTGGCACTGGGGCCACTGAAACAGGCAAGAAATATACTTGAGTGATCTCGGTCAGTTGTAACCTTTGGATTTTCTTTACTCTGTCTAGATACCCATGAATTTGTTTATTATGTATATGTCCGGCAATTCGATATCCATTTTCCCTATTATGATGGTCGGCATGATGCTGATACGCCCGATTAAGGCGATGTTTACCACACAAGTGACTTCAAAAATGGCCGATGGTGCGCAGGGCACCGGTCAGCGCATTATCTATATACTGGGAAATCTGGCAAATGTAGCCCTTGCTCTATATAAGTGTCATAGCATGGGTCTTCTGCCTACTCATGCTTCCGACTGGCTGGCCTTTGTGCAGCCCCAAACGCGTTTAGAGTATTATGGAGGAGGTGTTTCCTTTATTTAGATTGTAACTTTAAACGTAACCTTTATTTGAGTCATAGATAAATTTGTTTAACACACAAAACGTCATTAAATATATGTTGTCTTTCATCTTGATCGTCTCAATCGTCCAAAATCTTTTTGGCCTCCTTTTTGATATCATGTGCTATTTGTTCTACTGGCGACCTGTGAATAGAGCATAAAAAATTTATAAGTACTCATTCAACATTCTGGTTTGTTTATTTATAACTTATATTTAACAATTAAATTATCAATTTTGTTATTTCAAAATCGGTCAATTGGGTTTCATGTATTATTTAACACATTTTATTCTGAAAATCTAAAATGAGTGTTTAATTGCAAGCCATAATGTCTGATAAACTACTTTATTGGAAATTTGAATGTTTATGATTGGATCAAAGCTATATTGAGACTCTCAATAAAACAGCTTGGCTTAGATCATAAGGTTAAAGATCTATATTTCCTTATCCTTTATCCTTATTTGCTTTACTTTTTGCCCTCAATAAGTTCGCGGAATTTTTTGTTTAATTTTTCAGCCAGCTTGGAGGGATCATCTACGGGAGGCACCTGCGAAAGATTAAAAATTAAAATAGGCCTTTTCGTATTTCTTAAATAAAACTTACTTCGTAATTCTGCGATACGTAGACACCTGTGTAAACTCCGGCCCCAAAAGTTAACTGCAATTGAAAGAATAATTAAAATTGTGAGCACATTCCAATAAGCATATAAGAAGTTTCAAGCTTTATGATGGTGCAGACCAAAGAGAAAAACATGGCGCGACCGGCAGTCCACAAAGGCTTAGATGGGCACGGAGGCAATTCATCACAGGGTTGATGGCATCCACATCCACATGATTGAAAGCGTTTCGCAATAATTTGTCTTCCTACTCCAAGCCATTTCATTTTGTAAGCTTTGTATTTTTTAAAAAATTTCCAAATTTGTACAACAAATTTTATTTTGGTTAGCACTACTGCTTAACTGACAATCTGACTATTATGACTGAGATAACATATTCGAAAAGTATATATTTCAAACAGGAGCATATGTTCAAATATAAGATACAATTGTATCTAGGCTAAAGGCGGCATCTTATATTGACTTTCCATTTCGACATTGATTATTTTTTGAGTAAAAGAATTAAAATATAATTGTTGGAGCTGCAATACTAATTTATTTTATGTGGACTTTAAACTTTGACCAAGGACTCGCTATGGAGCCTGTGATTCACATTTTGCATATTATATATATAAATATATAAGTAACAATTTTTCTAAGGTATTTATATAACTTAAAAGTGGCGTATATGGCCGTTTTTGCGTATTGTCGACGGAATTATTGTTATTTCTTTGTCTCATGATTAACAGTGACAACAATAACAGCAGCGGCATTAAATCATCGCCATAAAAAGAACAGAATTTGCACGACACACACAATAAAGTAACATTTACCACTTGCTGCAGCCATGCAATCGCTAATTTCATACACTTTCACTTGTATTTCGAGCGTTACTTACCAAAAACTTCAACATTGTCCAATAATTAAAATCACCTTTTTCGCCCGCACGCGCCAGAGTGAGAACAAAATCAACAACTGCGTTGAAAGAAATGTCCAATCTGTACAATACGACCGCGTGAGAGCGAGCTGGTTTATGTGTAGTGTGCGTGTGTCTGCCTGAACTTGACTGAAGAGCGAGCCGATAAACAGCTGGCACACTACGTTTTCTCTCTGTGACGTTGGTTGTTGTTGTTGTTATTTTTTTCGTATTCAGTTATCTAATCGCAGGCGTAAATAATAATTCCAATACTTCGTAAGTTGATTAACTGTTTAATGTTGTTTGGCAGTATGCTGAAATTTTTAATTTTTTGCGCGTAATTTTCTATTTCTCAAACTTTATTTATTGAATTTGTTTTAATTGAAAAGTGCTGAGTAAATTTTTGCCAGCGCAACGAATGAGCAACGTGTAAAACACTAAATGGTAAAAAGCAAAAGGCCAAAAATAAAAACTAGTTTTTTTGGCTGTACCTTTGTGTTTTGGCGTATGTATGCGTGTTAATACGAAATGTCTCAAAATACGAATAATATTAGAAGTTGAGTAGGTTTCAAAATCACTTTGTAACATTCAAATGCGCGGGTAGCTGTTGAAAGAGTGCAAGAACTGTGTTGTACAACACTAGGGCACCTAGTTAATCTGTAAATAAAATCATTCGATTTGCTTACACTTAACTATATTTGTAATACAACCAATATTTAAAAACAAATTGCACATTTAACAATTACATGAATCATTTTTAATTAAAATTGTTGTTGCCTACTTTAGATTAAACTACGCCAAGTATAACTTTTCCACCCGTTTCTAGGCCAGAATGGCAGGTCTCGTCTTCAGGTAAATAAATGCCACTATCTGTAATATAAGTTTTTGCTTATTATAGGGTAACACTTGTTGTAACTACTTACCATCATGGCTATAACACCTAAAGCCGGCAAAACAACAGTTCCAATTTTTCCTTGCATTTCTACATTTTCCAATTTGCGTTCCTTCTTTTGCTTACGCGTTTCCTTTACTTTGCCCTTTAGTTGACGCATATTCTGGATGTATGCGTAAATTTGATTATTTATAATAACTATAACTCAATAAACTAACTTACTTTTTTCGTTAGTTACGCTGATGACGTGTAATTTTTATGATTACTTAGAATATGCAAACAGAGGAAGAACAGCGCGGTATAGGCGTACAGGTAGGTGGCTGCCGATAGGCTTTGTCAACAAGTTGTTTCTGGTTTGGAATTCAATACATGTCTTAGTCTTCGTTGCTCTCGTCGAAACGCGCTAAAGAAAGTTGTGCAGGTGGTTGTTGTTGTGGTGCAAACAGTTGGCACAGCTGTGCTAAGGGAAACGAAGTTGAAAAGGTTACAACTCGCAGTTAATGTGAGAGATACCCAGAAATTGCATTTATATTATTTATTATATTATTATATTTCTATTTCAATTAAGCGTTCTAATATAACATAAAGGCACATTTTGCCAAATTAAATCATGGAAGAACATAACGTCATAATTTTTCTTTGTGCCTAGCGAGTGCAACCAATCCAACGAGTAGTTAAACAGTGCTGCCACATCCTAAAAAACACATACATTTAGTGCTGTAAAAGTACAAAATAAGAGCGCGAATTTCAAAAAAAAAAAAAATAATTTCATATTATTACGCTGATGCAGTTTAATACAAATTAAAAGTAATTTTAATGCATTTTAGTTTATGAAAGATACATATTATATAGATAGATACATAGATATAGATAGATACATACATATAGATAGATACATACATATACATAGTTTTATATTCTAGGTAAGCTTTTGGATATTTTATGCTGAAAATGTTGTTATTTTTTAATTTACCGTTGCCACCACACTTTTTTTTCTCATTTTCTACAGCGCTGTCGTTGAAAATACAATTTCTCCAATACAATAACAAGCTCGCATACGTACTCAAACACACATACACATCAGTCTGGTCTGATTTTTGTAACTGATATGACAAAGTGTTGGTAATATTAAAGTTTCTTTTGCCTTTTGATTTTCTTTAAAGCACTCGCCCACATGTTGATTTTGCCATGGTTGTTATTCTTCTAGCCCATATATCTGCCTCTCTTTTTTTTTAATTTGCGAGCATTTTGTTAAGCTTTGCTGGCTGGCATGGCTCCAAGAGTCAGCGAACCAGATATACTCGCCAACTAAAACTGTTGCACCTTCACCTTTAAATGCGATTTTGAAAATGTATGAGCAGTTCCAAATGGGCTTACAGTCGACTCGAATGAGGCGGAATGGGGCAGCTGGGCGTGGCAGCTGTCACTGCTTGGGTTTCCTGTATGTTTAGTTGCAGCCCACATTTCGTATGGCTATATCAATCTATTGGGAGCAGCATCCACTGTTGCTCCTTTCTTACGCTAATTGACAGCATTCTTCATGGAGTAGAAAATGAAGCAATAATAATGCAAAATGCCGCCTGAAAACCGTTGCAAATCATTCTGAGACGCACGCCCAAGTTTGTGCATCGGTAATGAAGCATTCGCCAGTGACCAACGGCCAACATTTTGGCCAAACCAAAGTTCGTCCATTACCATAAACGGCAACCCGATCAATTTGGACACGGATTATTGGCAACTATTTAGCCAGCCAGCCAGACAGACACAGGCAAGCAGGCCTGGCCAGCTAGCTAGCTAAAATGGCCCCTAGCTGCCTGCCACTTGTCCAAGTCGTCAGGCTGCCGTAAATTGAGCTTTGAGTTCGACTTTGGGCCACCGCCCCGCCTCGGTTCGCCTGCTGGATTGGCCTGAATGTGTGTGCAGCATGTCGAAAATGCATGTTTCCTGATCGCAACTCTTCGCTCAAACTGTGGGTCCGCTTCTAGTTCGGACTCAACGTTAACATGATTTTCGACTTGTTCGTTAGACACTGCTAGTGATGGGCTCGTGACACGGCAAGACACCAGCCAGCACATATATATTAATAAAAATAATAATTAATATGTAATTAAACTTGGAAGAGTAACAAATAATTATGTTAAGCTGATAAATATATATACTATTGAATTCATCATTTGTTATATATATATAATTTAGTAGCTGGGTGCTTTTTTGAAATGTCAACATTTTTAGTGCTGGATAACATTATAAAGCTTTGTAAGTCGATTACTTAATCGATACTAGCATGTTAAATATGTGTATATATAAAAATTAATCGTTTATTTCGCACTCATCTCTAAGTGCAATTCAGTTGATCAGGTAGTTTGCCAACTTTGTCGGCCGTTGATTGGTTGCTCATTGTCCAGATGTCTGGCTTCGTGTCCGTCTGACTCCTTAACTGACTTAGCTAAACTCCTTATTTTGATTGCCAAGTCGTAAAATGATGGATTACCGAGTTGGGATTTATTTCTTGTTACGGTCATAATAGATTATCTTTGCTCACTCATTGTCAGAGCTGTTGAGCCTTGAGTCGCGTTTCGCATCTTCTTTCGACAAATGCTCGTTAGGCTCGAGTGGAATTGCCTACCGTTTTAAGTTTTAAGGCAGTTTTCTGTCTGCGGGGGGAGAGGGGTACACAAATCTACCTTGATGATATACATGATGGTTTCTGTTGCTGCTGCCTAATCGCTCAAATCTAGATAGCTTAGGAGGAGTGCAATACAGCGGGAATATGATTAAAACTATTAAGAATAACGAGAAACGCAGTAAAATTAAACTGTTAACTAACCAAATGAATTATAAAAGTATATGAAAAATGATTATTATAATACACACTGCGTACATGCGTACATACATACCTCACGCATATTTGTCCCCTACCTAACGAAAGACGTTGATTTACACTGTGGATTGCTGCAGAGCTTGCTGATGGATTACAGTGTTGTAAATGGCGATAAAAACTTGATTTGATGAATAGAGAAAGTACGTAATTTATTTGGAAAATAAGAGCTGCAGTTCTTAGATTTGTTATTGTTGATAATTTAGCATATTCCTAACCGTAGTAGGCGGCATAATATTGAGGTGCGGCCACATAGGCAGCAGCTGCAGCTGTTGCTTGGGGTGCTGCTATGAACTTGGCAAAGGCTGTTGGCTGCACAAAGCTTACGGCGCCGGCTGGGTAATATACAACGGATGGCGGCTGAACGGGTGCTACGGGCGCTGGAACGGCTGCTGGTGTGGCGGCCGCTGCCTTGGGCACCTCCACTTCCTCAGCGGCATCATCAATGTCCTCTTGGGCTTCACTGTTTGCCACCAGGCGCGCAGGCTTTGCTTGCAGACGTGCTGGAGGAGCTGCCTCTGGTGTAGCTGGAGCAGGAGCTGGTGCCCTGTACAGCTGCTGGGGCTGTTGCGCAGCGTAGTTGATCTCAGCAGGAACAGGTGCAGATGCAGACGCTGGTGCCCTGTACAGCTGCTGAGGCTGCTGAGGCTGCTGCGCTGCAAAGTTGATCTCAGAAGGAGCAGGCGCTGATGCAGACGCTGGTGACCTATACAGTTGCTGTGGCGCTGCATAGCTAATCGCTGGCTGGGCGCTCTGCTGCAGATTCTGAGTAGCTGGCTGGTAATTGTAACCGGCCTGCTGTTGCCGCTGCAGCTGCTGTTGTTGATAGCGACGACGCTGCTGCACATCCGCCTGAGCCAGGCTCAACAGGCAAGCGAGCAATACGATGACAACTGGGCTAAGTTTCATTGTTGTGACTGTGGCTGACCAACTGACTGGATTGCGAGGCGTCATATGGTTTTTTATATGTTGCAGCGGCTGCTGCTTAAGATGCCAAGCGCGTGTTGGGGGAGGCGGTACACGACCTCCCGGGCAACAAAACAAAATTGACATTGACCCCAAAAACAAACCCCAAAGCTGAATTGTTGCATTCGCGTTTTGCAGTGGAACGATGCTCATAACCCAAATCCAATAGCGAAAACAGTTCAAGCTGAAGTCACACTGATGGACTACATAATGCCCTGTACATGGAATATGAATTGCAATTTCATTGTTGAGTATTGTTAATAATTATTAGTTTATAATTATAAATACCTCTGCTTCTTTTTAGATCGGGAGGTTATTGAACAACATAACATAAACAACATTTAAAATGTATAATTCGAGCTGGTAATTAAGTCACCTTCCTTTATCAATATAACATTAGTTATTAGCTGCTTAATTTGTCATTTAACAGGGTATCACAATGCATGTATCACATGCGTCAAGCGCTCGTCATCGCTGGTCGCTTCGCCTGTCTGGCCTGTCATCAATATGCAGCTGATGTTCTAACATTTTATTGGGCTTTTTTGGCCCGTTGCCCACGTGTTGCTCGGTCAACAACAGCAGCAGCAGCAGCAGCAGTAGCAGTATTTGGTGTTTTGTTCAATCAATAGATTGGAATGGTCATGTAGTTTAGTCACGTCCAATGTAACACTATAAATTAGCCCATCTGACATGGGGCACATGTAGTGGATACGATTTGGAGCTGGGTTACACGGCCAGTTCGAGTACAGGGCGACAAATGCAGGTGACAAAACTGTGGAATGTAAAGCGAAACATATAAATGGCCGATTAACGAGCTGACTAGGTATTTTGCAGTAATACAAAAGTCGAACTTAAAGCTAAAAGTAGCTGAAGGATAGAAATTAGGAAAGGTTTTTGTGGCATTAGAAAGTCTTTTTGCTGAACTTCTGTCTTAAGAGATGCCACCCAGACCTAGTATTAAAATTCTTTTTGCATTCCTTTCGAGACGTTTTTCTAGTTTCTTCAGTTTTAATTTGAATCTAATGAATACAAATCGTTTTAAATCCAATTTAACGCATTTTGGCAACACCCACCATATAAATCCAAGTCAAATAATCAATTATTGTATATTTCATAGCACCTGCATAAATTTGCCATAAGTAATATGGGGACCGCCTTTGGGGACTGCTTCGGACTGGATGAGAAATGCGCGATAAATTCAATGGAAATGGCGGACAATTGCCATGGCGATGTGCGTCTAGCGCAATATTTACAAGGATTTCAATAAAAAACGAAGCAACTAATTGTTGCAATTAATTTATTAAATTACATTCGACACTATCCGCAGCCAACAGCAGTCAGCAGACGAGCCGATTGCCGCTGGCGCAACGGGAGGCTATGCGCATTCGCAGGCGGACACTGGGGCACAGTAGTCACTGGGACAAGTGGACAGGTGGACAAGTGGACGAGTGGACTGCGGATGCCTGACAGTTTATGGTCCATAAAAGAAACTGCATATGCAGCACATTAAAGCTGTAATAACGTAGCGTCGTGTGCTTCTAATGGCTCTGCTTAGAGAAAACAGCCAACAAATTTTGCAGTAATTGTACTTTAATTTAATGAAAGCGCTATTTTTAATGATGATCAGAATGTATAGTGGTTTATGTAAATAGTTGCCATTACTTTTTGTTGCTCGTACCTATTTCGAAAATATTTTGTTATCTGTATAACATGATATAGGATATATGAGATATTTACATAATAAATTTATAATGCAATGTATTTAGACCTAGATCTTATAGATAAGAAGCGCAAGTATGTGTAATTGGAAAGGCATTATCTATAAGGCTTAAAAGAATATCAATTAAGCTTAAGCTTGAGCTTAGCTTAATCTAAGCCCAGCTTAGATGAACTGTCAGTTAAATTAATTTCAGCTCATTACTTTACAGTTTGCTAGTTCCACAGAACTGAGCCAAGATTCCAAATTGGTAGCCAAGTTTTAATTTAACACATGCCACATTCTCCAGCAGCCAATTGAAAAAAAGAAATGAAGAGACAGAGAGAGAGAGAGAGCGGCTGACTTCTGGGAAGTGCATGGAGCAGACGTCCATTAGAAATGGGCGAGACATTCGTATCTATTGCCAAGAACTGGGCGTCATATTTCAAAAGACAGTCGCGTCCAATGGCCACGCATGCGTATCGTATCGTATCGCAAGCTTCTCGGGAGTTTCCTAGTACCAGGCGTTGTATCGGGGTGGGCTCGCTGCGGGAATTATGTAGATTGCAGCCTGGACTCGAGTGTGGAGCATGGAGCGTGGAGCGTGTTTGCGGCGCGTTTTACAATTAATTTTCGACCAGGTCTGCTGGACTTGGTAGCCAAAGAAGAAGAAGAAGAAAACCAGACCGGATCGTTGGCATGGGCGAAAAAGAGTTTCTCTAATGCTCGCCCGGTTTTGCATGTGTTGCATACATGTATGTATATATTTTTATTTTTTATTTATTTTTTTTGATTTATTTTTGCTTTTAGTGTCTTTTATTTTATGATTTATACGAACTGCAACAGCGTCTGCTCGGTCCGGTTCTGCGTATTTTCCCGACTTTGGCTTTGGCATTGGCGATTTTTCACCATTTTCATCGTAGATCGAAATTAAGTGATTTTAATGATGAAATTTATTGGCGCATTTATTTGTACATGATTTGGAGCAAGCCAAACTGCCTAACTGGCTAGCTGGCTAACTGGAACCCGCGGGCCAATCGACCAATAAATATGTTCGACATGTGACAGATTTCGTTTGCAAGATAAACGATCCAACTCCATGGGCTAGTCTATCAGGCTACCGACTACAATGGGAGGTCTATGCCAAGATTTCAGTTTGGGTTTCTGTCTACGAATTTAGGCTAAGGTTCTGCTTAGAAATGCTCAACAAGTAGACTGATAGATTGATTGACTGACTGATGAATTGATTGACTGATGGATTGATTGATTGGCTGGCTGATTGCAAGTTCCTTAATGAAGATAGTTAGAGATTGTGTAGATAAAGATTATTTTTAAAAATTATTCAAGCTAATTTAATCTATTAAAATTTTGGAAACATTTGTTAAATTTGTTTATCTCTTATTTATTTGTAAAGCCAAATTTAAATTTAAGATTTTTTTTTAAATTAGCCTCTAAGGAACAATAAATCCTTTTATTTCTTTCTCATTTATTTTTTTTTCTATTTATTTAGAGGGGGATTATTATTTTTGGTGCTCTTTGAACTGATGAACTGCTGCTGTCGATGCAGAAACCACGCAATGAATAATTGAACTCGCGACATTTTTTAATTACTATTTATTTCACTTTATTTTTTTATGTGCTTTGTCTTCACGGCTAGACGTGGTCTGTCACATTATAAATTAATTATGCATATTTTTTATTTATTCATTCGGTTGTAATTGAATGCAGCAGCAAAAATTACCGTTGGGCTGAATAAAATTTTAATCTTTGTTTGCGCGTCAATTTTTACGGCTTTGCTCGCCAAACAAAAATGCCATTTGCTTATTTATTTACATATATCAAGCATATATATAATTAATTATAAAGGGATTGCGAGCAACACAGTTGATATTTGCAATTAAAACGGAATGTAAATACGCAAAATTTGCATAAATTTATTAATAAGAATTAAAAGCATAATTGCTTATAAAGTTGTATACAAATACAGACGAGTAATATTAATTAATTAATTGGCAAACGCATAATTATATTAAAAAAATAAGTATGTATGCTCTAGGAGATACTCGACTAGAAGATACCCGGTACCTTAATTAAATGCCTAAATAAATGAAAGAGTTCACTTTGGCAGTTGGCCTAAGTTGGCCTATAGACTGCCAAGACTTCTACGCTTTGCGCTCTGTCAATAAGTCAACAAATTGCAAATAGAGTTGCCTGAAGCATGATTTGCAATAGATATCACTTATGCACGGCTAGAAAAAAATAAGAAGCTGATAAAAAATTGCATATGTAATGAGATGTTTTTGCGTAGCCTCGACGCATTCCACGCGTCATCATTTGGCCCAACAATCTATAATGAAATTGTTATTAAATGACTCTTTTTATGCAAAATACTTTGCAGTGTAATTAATGCTAGAAAACAAGTGACGAGCGCTGTTAAGAGATGAGCTTGAAGCAATTGTGAATGGATGCAGAGTCTAGACTCAGTTGGGCTTTGAGCTATGATTTTTCTTATCATTCGATTGGCATTTCTTTCGGGGTCAGGGACTCAGTCAGGCAGTCAGAATCAATGGCTGCGACTATGAATGCCTGTTGTTGTTCACAAGTTGCCTAATATATATTTACATATATGTCTATATGTGTGCCTGCAGCTCTTTTTCGCTTTGGCATTCAGTGTGGGGTAACCTGTCAGGATGTCTTCTCTTTAACCTGCTGCTCAGCTAATCAAATCAAATTTGTAATGAGAGCTCAACAGCATCTGGTTTCTGTTGCCAGCCAGAAAAACAACTTGAAAATTTAGTGAAAATAAAGTTAATTATGTAGAAACGAATTCTGAATACACTATTGAAAACATATTTTAATAAATAATAATTTTGTTTTTCATTTTTATTATTATTATTATTTTTTATTTTTATTTTTTATATGTTTATTTTAAATTAATTTTTTCTTGTAGGTTATAGTTTTGCATATTTTTTTTCTATGTACAAAAATGCATAAATATTTAAATATAATAATTTATTAAAAATTTTTTAGGCGAACAATTTCATCATCTCTTTAGCTTTTAATTCACTTAAACATTTTCGCTGCCTCTAGAATTTGTGAACAAATTTAATAAAATTATAGCTATAATGAAATATATTATTATATAATATTAATAATAATTTTTCAAAAAAATTTAATTTTGGATAAAGTTTTTATATATTCCATATATTTTTAATTTATTTTATCATTTTTATAAATTAATACTTACATTTCTAAGCAAGTTTTGTGAGAAATATTCAAAATGGTTCTGAAAAATATTTGAATTTAAATTACTTTGTCTCAACTTCTGGCCATCAATTCTATTGTATACTCTATCATTTTTTTACATAATATTTCTATTTGCAAATTTCTTTATTTGAAATTTATAGCATTTTTAAGTTACATATTCAGTCGCTATAATTTGAGTGCATAGATAGATAGATAGATGCAT